CTTCTCTAATTAGGACCCCGGGTTTGTAGTATCTTTACAGAAGCGAAAGGGCGGCGCCTTAAAGTTTTAAAGTGGAGGGGTGGTGCTATTTATTACCTCTGTACTAACAGATGGTTCAGTGATAACTTCTTTATTGCGGCTTTTAGTAGCACATTAGGATTTGCAATTAGGCCACGCCCAAAGGCGTGACCTGTTAGTATGAGAGAGAGAGGAGAGGTTCTGGCATCTGCCAGAACACTGCCACCCGCGGCAAATTAAATCTAGGAAATCGGAGCAAAATAAATTTAACATCGAAATCAGTCTTAAAATATGTGCATGATTTTGTTCTAGTGGTGTTGTTGTTTGAATGGAGGACCGCCCTGTTGATTAGAGCACAGTAGAACATTGTGCGGCCTCCCGCACACAGCGCAGCGTACTCCACCGTCCTCTTCGTGCGTCTTCTTCAGGCATTTTTCGCATACAAGTCGTGTAGCTTGACAGACTTGGCCACCGCATCCGGGAAACGATTGCATCGATTCATAGTGTGACCGTCTCGATCCCTCCAGCGGGCAGAAAATGCAATGGAGCGCAGTTTAGACCGCCCTAGCAGCTCCGAAAATGCATTTCTCAGCTCCTTCGTGGCAGCCATGTTGCTTGCGCCTAGGTGGCCGAAGGACTTCGGTTCAAAGGCAATTTCTTTGCGACTGCTCTTAGTGAGCACAATATTAGGACTGTGCCCAAAGGTGTGACCTGATCTCCTAAAATTGTAGAACTATTTGTCGATCATCTCCGAAAGAATGCACGAACCTGGAAAGGCCTGAGGTTGTCGCGTCAGCTAGGCATAGCTGTTGAGTTGCAACAATGTCGTCCCTACTTGTCTTTACTTATTCCTTGAAGGAACCGCTTATCACTTCCCCTCTGGAATGTGGTATCATGAGGCTATGACAATCTCCAAAAGGGCTAATTGCTCAATCTAACTTGGTTCGTTGTTAGATTTCTGCATTCATGTTACACATTCATTGTTTAGTG